GTATTACATGTAACCACGTTATATCATTTCTGGGAGCTAAAAGAGTAAAGCAAATAAGACCTTGTGTGGCAATACCTTATTGATTCCATGTGGGTTCTTTTTTTTTTTGCTGAGTGGATTTGGAAACAGATTGAGTGATCTTTTTAAAGTACCACATCTGTGGGTGTTGACATATGGGTCCACTGAGGAAGTACATCCATCCATATCACATATGATCTGAGAGTGGCTAGATAAACTGTATAGGCTATAGGTCTATCTATAATACATAGGCCTATGTTAAATGTCATTACTTGTGACTTTAAGGAAGACCCCTTATTAGTTATTTGGCTAGAATTCCATGGTTGGTTCGTTAAATGAAAAAAGCTAATGAAACACTTTTCACAAGGTGATAATTAGCAGAGAAGAGCAGGGCTGCAGTCACAGGCTGTTAGATATTTAATAACCACATTGACCAAGGGAGTTGGTGTTAATTTCTGGGTCATGTTTATGATATTGATTTATTCCAGGTCAAAATAATGGATGGTAAACGCTTCAAATGTTAATCAGAATGTTTACATCCTGATATGACAAGATGCAATTGCTATAGAGGAAGCATTTTTGGGCATATTGAATGTAGCAGAAAGCAGATTAGGTTTAGGCCTATACCTCAAACCTGACAATAACTGAATATTTCTAGGTGGTTTCCTTTATTGTTTCCCACATGGTTTGATGTAGTTTGCTGATATGACAGATGGATAGAGTATAATTCAGTCCCCCACTTCCTGTACTTTCCCAGCGTGAATTTGCAGATAAAGCCGAACAGGCGACAGTTGAGATGATGAGATAATTAAATGTTATAGAAGGTCTTCAAATGGGTGGGCCTATTACACAACATACATGAACATTTCAATAGAATATTTCCATTTTCCACCATTTCATCACACATTTCTACATTCTTATAAAAAAAGGTGCTAAACCGGTTCTTCGGCAGTCCCCATATAGGAAAACCCTTTGAAGAACACTTTTTGGTTCCAGGTAGAACCCTTTTGGATTCCATGTAAAACCCTTTCCACAAAGGGTTCTAAATGGAACCCAAAACCCTTTCCACAAATGCTTCTACATGTAACCCAAGAGTTCTACCTGGAACCAAAAAGGGTTCTCCTATGGAGACAGCCGAAGAACCATTTTGGAACCCTTTTTTCTAAGAGTGAATGGCCAACATTCTACGTATATATTAGCCTATGCTTTTGTCTTGGCCAATAGCTACAAAAAAGAATGCTGGCCTCTCTCTTGTCATGCTTTGATTTTACTGGATGCTCTATAAGACATGTTGTAGTTTGTGCTATAGGCTAGTAGTGCATTGTTCAGGAACGACTATGATCGACGTCATTTTAGTATAGGCTACCAACGTTGTTTAGCTAATTCAATGAGGCTGAATAAGAGAATAAAGGGGACTGCCTCTGTCCCAGTGATACCCAAAGAGAAACACTGGCACCTGGATCTTTCACACAATCGCTTAAAATGCTACTTGACGTTTGGCTCCTATCCTAGAGAAACTCCGCCATGCTTTTTTATGATTTTATTACATCGCATGCTTATTAATGCACCGGATGGACTTAATCGCTCTTATCTCGGCCAATCAAACGTGGGATAGGATTATCATAGGCATGTGCATTGTTTTACAGTCAATGCCTAAATTTGATTTTGAGTCACGTGGAAATTTAATTCTTTGCCATCTTTTTCTATGGGTTGCTGTAGCCTAATATTATTGGTGTAAATTTGTTCTGTTTGATTATGATAGAAAATGTAGGCTCACATGTGCAAGTCCTATACGCATATCCAGGCTACTGTTGTAGGACTATCTAGATCCACATCGAATAGCTCATCTGTCATTTGATGTCTGTTGTGTATGACTGATCATTCCAATCTTGTATTGATTTGGCACAGTCCTTCTACATTCACGCTAATTTCGAGCTACTGAAACAAAGCCCTGCTAAGCAGATAATATTAGTGACAAGTTTGTAGAAAACCTCTGAGAATAATACGTGAATAATCACTTAGAAACTCAAAGAATCTTCCAAAAATATCCTAAAGACTTGTTAGGAAACATGACCTTGGAAAATGCATAAGGGAAAGTGCTTAATAACTTTCCTATAATCTAAAAAGCCAATTAATTAGTGGTCACTAAACAATTTTCTTTGTGTTCATTTCTATAAAAATGTGTACTAGCCAGCTTCAAATAGTTAAGACTGTAACAAATCAAATGATGAGAATAATTCATTAATTGCGTCATGAATGGAAATTGATGTTACACTCTCTTATTTATAACACCAATAGGCCCATGTAATGCTGGAGAAAAACAACGTAAATGGACAAGCAATATATTCGTAGGCGTATCTGTATAATTATGTTGTTTAGTTTGGCATTGGTGTGTGCTATGAACATTGCATGTTGTAAACATTTTAAAAGTGTGCCTCTTTCATTCTTAAATAATGCCAATGGCATAATTCCTGGTTGGGATTTGGATACCCCCTTAGTTTGCAAAAAAATGCCAAATGACAAAATAAGTTAATTTACTCAAAGCTGCGAGGGAGGGAAAATAGAATGTTGCAAATGAGGCTCTTGATATCACGCTCATAATTAATTGCGCAAATTTGTTCTATTAAATAAAAATAACACCTATTGAGAAACTCAATTAGCATTAATTAAGCTTGATATCCCAATTTGGAAAATGTGTCGTTGAAAACAAGCTTTTTCGTAGTCTTTTTTTCCCTCTCTAATGCTGAATACGAACGAGCTTTCTGCCTTTGGGCTGCTTTTCCCTCCTTTGAGAGTTGAAAATGAAAAATGGAAATGATATATCAGGAGGTGCTAAATTAGCCGCCTGATCTGCACTTATTGCTGCATAGACGCCCCTGTTACTTTGTCTGTGTCTCTCTTTTAGCATTCCAGGCATGGAGAGGCGTCGAGATAGCAGATTTATCAAATGGGAAAATGAATGCATGATGATAAGTTAAATTGAAAATCAGCGCCTGCATGACAGCCCGACCTGACACCTCCGTAATTAGAAAGAAAAATGATGGCGTCCGATGCATAATAGAGCAAAAACAATTTACACTCTCCCATAATGATCCGGCGTTCAAATTGAAAATTTCTCCATGTAGAAATTGAATTCATAAAGTATGATTCATGGAGGATACATCTCCTGGAGGCTGCCTGGGCCATATCGATTGATAGTTTGTCTTGAATCATACAGCGTGCAGCTCTCAGGCAAAAAAAGCTTAACTACTTAAGCAAATCGCTAATTTCACCTTAAGGCCACAAGTGTGCAGCCACGATACTCCTGTTCAGTATTCTAATGAATTAAACATGAACACCCCCTACCATGCAACATACGCTCCAAATAAGACCCCAAAAAAATAAATATATTGAAGGACACTTGCAGACAACTCTAATTTCCAAATGGCCTATCCTAAATGGCAACCCATTGACAGAAATAAAGCTCAATAATTGGGGGAGCTGGGCTGGCTGCGGCTGGCTGGCTGGCTGAATAAGAAGATAATGTATTTAAATATTATGTCGGGTATAGGCATATATATTTAATAAAAGTTAAAAGTATTATCTTTGTTGGGTTGGGGACTTTCAAGGGCTATTGTATTTGGATCTATTTTCATCAAATAATAAGTTATTCATTAGCTTATTGACTTTCTGTCTCTGCCATAGGCCTATATATTCTCTGTTGAGATTACATTTTCTCTTTCCCTATACACTTTTGCCTGTCTCTTATACCAAGAGCCCCCCTCCACCCACACCCAATAAGTCATTGCTTCCTCTGAGCAAACAGCAGTCACCGGGTGAAAATTATGTAAATATTTTGAAAGGGACACAGGCTCAGAAATTCATTTGCGCCGGCTCTGATATAAAGCTGCCCCTCTGATTATTTTCAATGTATTTGCAAATCAAGACCCTAAGAGAGTAGCAGGGCCTCTGGGTATTTAAGGACAACTACACCACACTGGAATGGATGTTTTCAATTTTTAGGATTTAGATATTCGTATTATTGGGGGCATTTGCTCGTGCGTTAAACCTATCTTGTAAAATAATCTGTATGCGATGTGAATGGTCTTTCCTTTCTTACCTCGACTTTAGATCTGGTCAACATTGCTAATATTGCCATGGCGCAGATGTCCCCGAGCCTGCACAGCATCCCTGGGGACCGCCAACCCTATTAGAACAAATGTGTTCTGCTATTGTAAATAGGCACGTTTGCTTCGCCCGTCCTATTACAGCCGACGCATGATCAATAGGCTGATAACACAGAAACATCAATGTAAGCGACAGAACAATGAGGGATATCATCGAACATCTATCTTAATATAGCGGCTACAAGGGCCCTGACAAAGTGAAAACCTCATGAAAATTCCGCCCCACGAATTCCCATCTCCTATCCAATATGCACAAACACACTCCCAGCTGCCGGGGCTATTATTTTCGTATTTCAATTTGACACCCCAGCCTTTCATGCTAATTCTATTATTCTTGGAAGTTTATGTGATTTCATATCACTAGAAATCGGTAATGTATAATAACCCTTTGGGCTAAAATAAACGGAATCCCTGCAGTAGCCACCGGGAAAATAATTACTTTCATATCAAAACTCTGCAGGAGTCGAGCGGGTCCTTTCGCCTCCGGCTCGTAACCTCATTTCAGTGAGGCTTATAGATGAATAAATTTGTTAAAGCAATACACAAAATACAACATCAGATTTTAGCAGAAAGCGCTACCTATACCCACTATACGGGCTATTTAAGGTCTCACACGGTTTGGATTTATTGTATACAATCGATTTATTTATGAAAACCGTACATATATAAATATTATAATACTTTTTACAGCCTTTGAGGATTTTTGTGGTTTTTATGTATTTTTACAGTTTGTTACACAGGGGGGCTAGTACTACTACCACCACCACCACACACACACGTGCACATATACACGCACGCACGCAACAAACACACACACACACACACACACACACAGTTATAACCCATCATCATCAGAATATAGGCTATATATGTCATCTGTAAAATGAGAGTTTATATTCTAAGACGTGATTGAGCTTTGGGCAAACGAAAGGTGTTGTTGACGCTATCAATATTTTTTCTCACCTATAGGTCTATTATTCCATATCGACATCTTGAGGCTCTGTCTTTGTCTCTGGTGGACAGTTGGTTGTCACAGACTCGGAACTCTCTGGGTAGTCTTTTACAGACTGCTCTTTTTTGTCTAATGGCAGATACTTTGAATCATCATCATCTTGGAAATATGTTGCACTACAACTGGCTGAAGGCTGACTAAAGTTGCTACTGGAAAAGGTAACATGGCCTGGGCTGTTCTGTGGGGAACTAGTATTTTTCGCGGTAAAGTTGACCTGCACTTTGATTGCTGTCGGGTCATTGAGATTATTGGACTCCTTATAGTTTTTATGTCCAGTGTTGGCAGAGAAGATGCTGTCATTCACTGGGGTTCTTTGTGTGGAGTTGTCAGAATCTGCGTCTGGTGGTGTTGTCTTCAAAGCAGTCTGAGGAACAATGAATCCAAGCGGCTGGGTGATAGGATAGAGTAAGAAATGTCCTTTCCCTATCAAAGGCCGCGAGGAGGGTAAGGCAGAAAATCCATCTATGTTCGGTTTGCGCCTTGGTCTGGAGTCGGATAGAAGGCTCTCTACGCTGAAGGGGTTCAGTTTCTGAAGGGTGGAGGCTCTGCTGTTGGCGCACATGCTTGACTGTTGACTGCTGTCGGACGAGTCCAGCTCGGATCCACCAGCATCTTGGTTCAAGTGTCTTTGGTTCTGGAGGGTTTGTGGTGTTTGGTCACAGCTCGATTGGGATTGGTTTCGGCCTACAGAGTCACAATGTGGATTTTGCTCACTGTCCGTCACTTGTGACACTCCGCTGTCACTGTCAGATCCTGGGGTGTGAAATAGGTCCCCTGACAATAGTTTATTCTGGGACCTCAACAGTCTTCGCTCCTGCTTCCTCTTCTTCTTCTCCATCCTCTCCAGTTCTCGCCTGGCGATCTCCTCCGCGTCCATGGGCTCTCCACTGCATGTTGTTGGGTGGGAGTTGTGAGCTGGTCGACCTGGACCCTTCTTTGTATTTTCTTTTTTCCTCCACTTAGCTCTACGATTTTGGAACCATACCTGCATATTAGAGAAAAAATAATGTCACGCATGTTCAAAAAGAAGACGTCCACTTTCTTAAAAAAATACATAGGCCAAATAATAACTTAGGCTAATATTTGTGTGAACCTTTGGAAAAATATGTTTTCTAGATGGTTCCAAATTACACAAAACCAAAGAACAATGCCTCTTGCTTGTAGGCCTACAAGTATTTATTATCCGATGACAAAAATAAGCATATTTATTTTCCAATTCGAGTAGGCCTACAATTATTCTGTGTGCTTATGCCTTCTTCGTTATTAAAAAAAAAAATGCTGTCTGTCTGATCTGGAAAATGCCTCATGAAAACATATATCTCACTTATGATGGGCCCATGTGTCCCAATCAAATGCATAATAATAAATGGTTTAATATATTTACAAATACTCACATTTGCCCCAACACTAACTGCCTAAAAATAGCTAAAGTGACATGCCAAATATAGGACTAGACCAGCGTTTCCCAAACTCGGTCCTCTGGACCCCAAGGAGTGCACGTTTTGGTTTTTGCCCTAACACTACACAGCTGATTTAAATTATCAAAGCTTGATGATTAGTTGATTATTTGATTCAGCTGTGTAGTGCTAGGCCAAAAAACTAAATGTGCACCCCTTGCGGTCCCGAGGACCGAGTTTGAGAAACCCTGGACTAGACAATAGGCTTATAAGATTGGATCTAACAATAATGGATATTTCTCTGTGCATAACAAAATAGACATATGATATTTTGACATCAGAAGTGCAAATGATCACAATAATGAACAATACATTTGACTGATGAGGAGAGATGGGGGAAAAGGTGTGTCCTTTATAAAAATGTACGACTTGAGAACCCATCAATATTCAAGTTCAGAAATATTAACGTATAGGCCATGCATACTTGGGTGTTCTATCGGTTTATAGAGGAAAATGAAAAGACTGATTGTGCATACGTGGATGTATGCAGATATCTTCATTTTGAGTATGTTTGAGTGAAAATGATATAGCCTTGTCGACTGAATCTACACAGTTTAAATTCAATATTAAGTACAGCAAATTAACTGACCCTTCCATGGCTTAGCCATATTTCAAGTATTTCTCCTTGAACCAGAGGCCCTCTTTATACTCGGTTTGCTGCTCATATTACCCTTGATTTCGAAGACTCTCTCTCTCTATATCGTATATTGTGTTATTTAAATACATATTCACGTTTGATAATGTTTTACTTTTTTAAATTGTGAAAATGATTTGCTTTCATTTGCGGTTTTGAAGCATAGTACTGTATGTAGATCATGGACCCTGCACATACTATAATAGGCCTCCATGTGCCCATATTGCACAAGCTCCCTGTGGAGTTTTTGATCACAGTACAAAACAACAAAGAGACAGGAATTACTGGACAGTTATATATCTCAAATAGACCACTGTACTGTATTTGTGTAAGAGATACAATAGGAAATAAATAGGCCTACTTTCCTTTGTTCGTACAGCCTATCCGTGTTTATGAATCATTACGCGACACATCATAACAAACCAACAACAGTGAATGCCAAAAAGTGGATATGGTTGAAATTTACCTGTACCCTCGATTCTATCAAGTCCAATCTCAGAGCCAGTGCTTCCCTCATGAACACGTCCGGATAGTGACTCTCATTAAAAGCCTTTTCTAACTCTTCCAGTTGCCAACCAGTGAAATTGGTGCGAGTTCGTCGTCTCTTACAACCAGGGCTATCCTTGTCTGGGTCACACGAATCTAGCATGAGAATACAAAACAAGAGAGTGTGAGAGAGACGCAAAAGTAGCCAGAATTATTTTTTTGCAAGGAAACGTTCTTTTTGTGGTCCTTTATAAAGAAATTAATCAAATATAGTCTAATAAATTGGGCTATTATGTCAGTTTTCGATGGTAAGAAAATAGTAGTAATAAGACTATTAATCACAACAATATTGCTCCTGATAATAATAACAATAACACAGTAAAACATTATACTAACAATAGTGAAACAGTGATTTTCCCCACCCTGTCACAACAACACAAGGGGTTTTCACGTTTGGAGCTGTGCTCGTATGCTGCTCTCCATTGAAATGAATTGCAATATAGCCTAATTTGAAAGCAGAAGACTGCTTCTTTGTTTCTTAGGATTTGGATTCCCTCTTTAACGCTTTATGGAGAGGATATACAGGCTATATACAGGATATACAGGATATACAGACACTTTCAGTTCTTTGTTTAGTCTTTGATCTAAAGCCAACCTTTTGATAAGTGTTGTATTTCGTGTTGCTTACCTGTCAGCTTGTACTGCTGGTTATCTCCATTCATACCGCAGCCAGACAAGAGGGGGTTCGAATTAACCACTGATGCTGTGCAGGAACCATTAAGTAATCCGTCTATTGAAAAAGGAACTGCGGCCGCAGATTGAAGTTGATGACCGGCTAATTCGTAAACATGATGGTGGCTTAGATGGTACGGAAAGCCCACCATCCCGCCGAGAGAGCCTCCGAACTGGGCATGAGGTGGATCCAGTATCCTGCTGTCCATCATCTCCTAGGCAAAAGGAAACGACGTCTGGAGGCTGGTGATGTGAATTTAAAAATCATGCAGTGAGTGTGGCCAGCGAGGAGGGGACATGATGTGGAGGGAAGGATGAGCTGTACTTTATCAACATGAACCTTCCAATAATTAGCCTAGGCTTTGGGAATTTGAGACCAATGAGAAACGGTAATCGAGTATGACGTCAGAGGCGCGGTCTGCAAACGCTTTCCATATCGATTGCTAATTAAACCCGACATCCACCTCAATAAACAATATCAGAGCTGTCACAACAAGACAGGAGGGCTTTGATAAGAACTACATCACAACTAGACGGGGGACCACCGAGAGAGAGTGATCAGATTAAAGCACAGTAAAAGGTGAAGGAGACGAGCTAATTTCTGCTCTAACGCTTGTCACAGTTTTTGGTCAACGTGTTGTCGCGTTTTAAATGTTTACTCTTTCTATTAATCGATGCCGAGTTACAAATACCCTAATTTTACACAAGGACATTTATCATCCAATGCTGTCAAATTTCATTCGAGACTACAACCAATTCGTGTGCAATATAACGCGAGGTTGATGAAAGGGGGCGATCGACTCCTCAGCTTGGTGTCGATAGGCTGATTGAAAAAAGGCAGATGTTAAGTTATTAATTACATCACATACTAATTAATCTTCTGCTAATAAGAGGAACGATATTAGGAAGAAATGTGAACCCTTATTCCCCAGCACTTATACTGTAATTAATTATACTTAATTTAAAAATGTGTGAGAATCTGTCCCAGGTTTACAAAGCAGCTTCTTGTGTATACGTTTTTGTAGTTATTGTTATATATGTTTTTTTTTTGGTAGGCTAGTTTTGAACTCATGTTATATAGGCAGGTAAATGCTGTCTTTATGAGGCAAAAAAACAACAACATTGTAGCTTTAGATGTGCAGCACCAGTGTGTCAGTTGGTAGAGCATGGCGCTTGCAACGCCAGGGTTGTGGGTTCGATTCCCACGGGGGGCCAGTATGAAAAATGTATGCACTCACTAACTGTGAGTCGCTCTGGATAAGAGCGTCTGCTAAATGACAGAAATGTAATATATATATATATATATATATATATATATATATATATATATATATAATCATTGTATTTACCTTTATATGCCTATAGGTTATTTATTCTCGATGTTCAAAATATACTAATCTCCGGTGAAAACGAAGGGTATTTATGATTGTGTAAAAGGTTAACAAAACTATATGACCATAGTCTACTGGGGGGAAGCTCCGAAACATTCATTTATATTATATTAGGCTATTTGTCCGGAGACCTTCATAGCTCTAGTCCATGTTTCCCCACTCGCTTATGCAAATACATGTGTTTGTGAATAAAGCGAATCAATCCTGTCTAAGTAGTCTCTCTGCCCTTTAGGCTATAGAGAGAATTAATTCGACTTTATTTATCCCATGTCTGGTGCTGTCATAATGTTAATCTGAGTTGAAATTTCGCTCCCCACTCACTCCCTGACCCTTGGCACCCGGATTGGCGTGTTGTAATAACCCGAATCTCTCAACAGAAGCCGTGATCATTGTTACCTTATTAGCATGCAAATTGTTTAATTAATATTATTATGAGGAAGTATATAATCCGTTCGTCACTCGACCTCAAGCCCAAATAGCAACCTCTCTGCATTTCAATGTGTACATTTTAATGAACTCCTTAGAAATGTTTCAGGATCTGGCCGTTTTATCCCTCTCCCCTACAAAGCTGTAGTTAGAGTTGCCTCAGATGCCTTTCTCTTTGTATTTTAACTTAGTTTATCATGTTTTACATCATTTTTATGAATATTTCCAACCATTCATTTCTTTTTTGAACATCTAAAATTCAATAATTGCTTCTTGTCAATTCTGATCGTAGCCCCATCGAGGCGCACTGGCTCAGTGAAAAGCAGCCCTTGACACGCAGTCCCGGGAGACATTGCATTTAAATCCGTTTTTCTACAACCGGGTGACATTGTCAGATCCTAGCTTTAATTAACCAGATAATAAGATGAACAAGGCGTGCATTCAGTGCCACTACAGGCCTGTCTTGTTTCCTTTTCATTTGAATTCAAGAGTTTCATCAACAATTTAACTGGCCTTGGTCGATAGGACATAAAGGTTCAGTAAAATAATAGAAAAGTGCCTCAGAGTCAGCACCCTAAACTGCAGAACAATACACTCTTAGAAAAAAGGGCCTATCTAGAACCTAAAAGGGTTCTTCGGCTGTCCCCATAGGAGAACCCTTTGAACAACCCTTTTTGGTTCCAGGTAGAACCCTTATGTGTTCCATGTAGAACCGGTTCTACATGGAACCCAAAAGGGTTCTACCTGGAACCGAAAAGGGTACCTGGAACCAAAAAGGGTTATCCTATGGGGCCAGCCGAAAAAACCCTTTTGGAACCCTTTTTTTCTTAGTGTGTATTATAGAGCTGGTAGCTTAGCCTATATGGCATGTAGACATACATTGGTTCATGTGATATTTGTCTACCCTATTGTTGCCTTTACCACCTGATCTTAATCAATAGTGACTTTCTGTGGATGGAAAAGGTAGATCTAGACACATTCATCCCTGACCTGCAGATTATGCAGATTATTTGAAAGCAACTGGCATAAATTACAAATTTGAAGACCTCAAATCATAATCTCTGGAGAAAGCAAATAGGCCAATTTAGCCTACCATCTATAGGCCTACTGCATGCCCACTTGTTGTAGGCTATATGTCACATCATCTTCACAGCCTTGTACATGTCACATCATATTCACAATCTCTTCATACTATCTTGTGAGTGTTGAACCAGATGACATCAAATCACTCCTTAGGTCACAGATGTTTAGATATGTGAAGAATGAAGCATGGCCTGTGACCGCACACAGTGCATATCAAACTTGTGTGTCTGTCTGTGTGTGTATGCATCTGTCTGTCTGTCTGTCTGTCTGTTTGTCTGTTTGCCTGTTTGACTGTATGTCTGTTTGTCTGTTTGACTGTCTGTCTGTCTGTCTGTTTGTCTGTTTGTCTGTTTGCCTGTTTGACTGTTTGTCTGTCTGTCTGTTTGCCTGTTTGCCTGTATGTCTAGGCCTAGGTAGGCCTTTGTTTATAGGGCTAGCTATGTGAACACTCCATAATAAGCTGTCATAACATATCATGACAGGACAGGTTATTATGAAATCAGATTTTACACTGTCTGAAAATATCCATTAAAGCCAGTTTTCTAGCTTTGAGCATAGCCAACTGACTGATTATGAGAGTATTATAACCTAGCCCATATGACAGAGGGTTCAAGTAAAGTGTACTGTTGTTGTTTGTTGCAACCCTCTGTCTGTCTGTCTTTCAGCCTGTATTTCAGCATGCCCCCCTCTCTCTCTCTCTCTCTCTCTCTCTCTCTCTCTCTCTCTCTCTCTCTCTCTCTCTCTCTCTCTCTCTCTCTCTCTCTCTCTCTCTCTCTCTCTCTCAACCCCATGCCCTTAAGAGCATCACACTCTCTTTAGGCTATAGAAGTGTGGAGTACAAAACATTATTGTTCCACTGAGGTTTGTTTTCCTGTGTTCACTCTTGTTAACTTCTGATGACAGGGCAATGGTAATGATGTGGACAGGGAGTTCCCAGCACCTAAAGATACAAAATCAGTCCTTCAACTCCAAGTAGACATTATTGACCCTATTAACAGCAGGTGTTCAAATGTAACACCCCAAACAAACAAACAAACTAATCAAACCAGCCATCTAACACTGATGCCTACTTTACCAACATTACAGAAAATCAAA